ATTATCGGCCATCTGGTTGCGCAGCTCTCCACGTCCGCACCTGCCATCCAGAGGACGGCGAGTGGGCCACGGGGCTCGTCGGAGCTGCTGCTTCAAGCGGCGATTTTTGTGACGGAGACCACGCGATTGCCGGGCGCCATTTTGCCCGCGAGGGGCACGGCGTGGCCGTCGGGTGCCATTTGGAGCAGGATGCGGGACAACGCTAAGGCAGCGCTACAAGGGGCCGCGTGCCGACCACGACGACTGCCTCCCGTTTGGGAGTTCGTGGCGGCGGGAGGCGATTGGACAGCGTTCCGTCATTGCTTTGAGGTGGCTTGGTTTTCCGTCGGGTGGACGGAAGAGGAGGCTCTGTGAGCCCTACCGATGGCCCTCGATAACGATGCATTGGTGGCATTCAGGGCCATCCCGGAAGGTGATTGGTCAACTCTCCAGCAGGCATATGCCCAAATAGTCGCAGTCTTTGACCCGCCATACAAGGCCCACAGGAGATGTTTGCAGCGGAAGTGAGGGGAGGCCAAGACGCCTCTCGCTTTCGTAGGACTCTGCTGGCGTTGGGGCAGGAGGAATATCCCCACATGGACCGGATGGCGCTCGACTTCCTAGCAGTGAAGAGGCTGTTATCGTTAGCACAGGAGTTGGGGGTCGTCCTGACGATCACGGAGGACGATGAGTAAACGTCTTTGAAGGTGGCCCGGTGGATTCATGCCCACAATAACATGCAGCAATGGTCCAAGGTGGAGGCTTGGACTGGGGACGCCGAGGCACAGGGGCCCAAGTGCTGGGAGGTGGAGATGGTGGTTGTGGTGTACGGCTACGGGCTGTACGGGAGGGGCTTCTTCAGAAGGCCGACAGGATGGAGTTTGTGAGAGGGGCTGTCTCTTCAGCCTTGGAGACCCACAGCTACCTACTTCAGGTGTGGTTGGCCGGGCCACGTCGCAAGAGAGCGCCGGGGTATCAACGCGACGTCGGTAGCGCCACCAATGCCCTCTACCCTGCCGGCTTTTGCTCCCCAAGCCTCACAGGACCCAAGCCTTTGATGCCAGAAAATATTCCGAGGTCGCCGTGTGTGAGGGATCTGAGGCTGGAGCTCGGTCAAGTGCTGCTAATGTATCCAGGGAGGGGACGTGCCCTTTAGGCCGTTTTTGTGTGTTCCTCGGAACCCCACGAGTAGTGCAAGATCCTGCCCAAGGTTGGGAACAAGCGTCAAGGACCTGGTTCATGTGAGCAATGTTGCAGTAAAGCGAACTTTCCCTTGTACTGTGTGATTGGGAAAAATGGCGTGTTAAGGGTAATGGGCGCTGAGAAGCGGTTGTTGGTGCTGCGTGCTTTGTGTTAATGGTTGTTGTTGTTGTTGTCGTTGATGGGTTTTTTTTTGCCTGCGCTGCGCACCGAGTGTCACATCTGTTGTCAGTTGGCGGGGGTGCCGCGGTTGTGCTGTGTGCCTGCGTGCACAATGACTTGCTCAGGTGGAGCAGGTGTTGGGTTATTGGTTCGCGGGGATCATCGTGACTATGGTTTTGGTTGGTTGTTTTTTTGGTGTTTTTTGACGTTCCTCGGTTGTGGTAGTTGCTCTGCCTGTCCACCCGGTTGCATTGCTGTATATCAGCCGGGACAGCTTTTTTTTTTTTTAAACAAGCGGGGGGGGGGGGGGGGTGATGTAGTGTAATAGCGCTGGCTGGTGGAGAGCAGCGGCAACTGTGGTGGACAGACAGTACACACGCCGGTGAGGGTGTGCACGGTGTGTTGGCAGAGGGGAGGAACTAGGGCAAGGGTCACGGAGGACCCCATCTTGAGGCCCCTGGAACAAGCTAGCAGGTTCGAGAAGGGAGGCGCGGTCAGGTGCTGGGTAGTATTAAAGGAGCTGAGAGCGGAGCTCAAGGCTGCCGGTTCTGGGAGTGGACTCGTCTCATCGTTGCTGTCGTCTCATTGCTGTTGTCGCTACTGTCTCCGCTAGATATATCGATACGAAGGAGAGTAATAAAGTATGAAAGCTTTCGTGACTGCATAAAATTACTCATTGTTTTTTTCGGTAAAGTCACGTATGTAGAAATACAATAAAATTATATTAAAACAAGATGTGCGTGCTTGAGCTGCCGCTCTCGCTCTGGCCCCTCCCCCCCCTCCAACCGTATTTCCTATTTAAGCTTCTGTTCATCCCTACGGCCCCCCCCCCCCTCTCTCTCTCTGCCACCCTGTCCGTCTTTCCTCCCTCCTTACCTCTTGGTGGACTTGTATATGTATTGCTACTGACCATGTACCTCGTATTTTTCATTCTATCTATGCTGGTATGTGCAATCCAAAGGTTGAACACGAAATTTAACACCCTTCTGAAATTCGTGGTCCGCCAGGAAGTGTCTAACTGTGTTGTTGGCCTGACTGGATGTGCTTCACGTAATGTTTTTTCAGGTTTGTTGAATTCTAGTCTCTCATCTTTTTGTTTTATTTACCTCCGTGATTTGTTCTTGACACCTGATGAAGATTGCTTGCGTTGTGATCGAAACGTCGTGATTGTTTTTTGTTTTAATATAATTTTATTGTATTTCTACTTACGTGACTTTACCGAAAAAAACAATGAGTACGAAGGAGAGTATTTGGCTATCTCAGCAAGCGCCATCAGTGTTAGATGGCTAGTGTTGTGTACAGGCTCGGCTAAACTGCTGTGGACGAGACTGTGGAAGTTATTAATAAAGAATGTGCCTCCTATGATCTCTGTCTCTGAATCGTTGACACTACACATGCACACTGTTTTGAGTGTAGTTGGGGTTAGCCTCTATCCATGCACACTGTGTTGGGTGGAGTTGGAGTCAGCCCCTATGCATAGACACTGTGTTAAGCAGAGCTGATATGTATGTGTAGTGTCAGTGATTCGGAGACGAGTTTTGTAGGAGGCACCTTCTTTATTAAGAACGTTCACGGTCTCGCCTGCACACTCTCCACAGTCGCTTAGCCTAGCCTGTACACAACGCGAGCCGTCTAACACTGACAGAGCTGACTGAGACATCCAACAACTCTCCGGCAGCGCAATATCTAGCGGAGACGGCAGCGACGGCGGCGACGAGATGAAAGAAACGATGAGACAAGTCCAATCCCAGAACCGGCAGCCCTGAGCTCCCCGCTCTCGGCTCCTTTTATCCAACCCAGCGCGGCCTGGCCCCGCCCTGACCGCGCCTCCCTTCTCGAACCTACTAGCAGGTTCCAGGGGCCTCCAAATGGGGTCCTCCATGACCCTTGCCCTAGTTCCTCCGCTCTGCCAACACACACCGCGCACGCGCTCACCGGCGTGTGTACTGTCTGTCCACGACGGTTTCCGCTGCTTGTCCACCAGCCAGTGCTATTACACTACGCATGCACACTGTGTTAAGTGGTGCTGGGGTTATCCTGTATGCATGCTCACTATGTTGAAAGGAGCTGGGGTTAGCCTCTATGCGTGCACACTGTGTTAAGTGGTGCTGGGGTTATCCTGTATGCATGCACACTATATTGAATGGAGCTGGGGTTAGCCTCTATGCATGCACACTGTGTTAAGTGGTGCTGGGGTTATCCTGTATGCATGCACACTATGTTGAATGGAGCTGGGGTTAGCCTCTATACATGCACACTGTGTTAAGTGGTGCTGGGGTTATCCTGCATGCATGCACACTATGTTGAATTGAGCTGGGGTTAGCTTCTATGCATGCACACTGTGTTAAGTGGAGCTGCTGTGAATGTACACTGTGTTGAGTGAAGCTGATATGCATGCACACTGTGTTAAGTGGAGCTAGGGTTAACCTCTATATACTATCTCCATTGAGTTTACTCTCCGTGCATCGGGGCTAACCCCAGATCCACTCAGCAACTCCGCTCCCGTTGTGTCTCGACCGGGCACCAGAGGTGTCATCGCCCTCACGGTTTGCTGACCCCCGCCGATCAATGGAGGGGGGGGGGGGGTCTGTTGTTGTCTGCGGTCAGATTGAAGAGTGAGAAAGCTGCCGTGGTGTTACCTGGAGAATTTCTGACGGCAGTAGGAGTGATGAAGAAGGTCATGATGGGGTTGCAGTGTTACCATCTGGAATTCTAGTATAATGCAACGGTCTTTGTGGTGCCTTATATGTGGACGTTCCACGGTGACTAGCGGGACTGTAGCAACTATCGTGGCTGTGACTCTGAGTGGCTGGCAACGTTCTTGCACTTACGCAACTGCCTAGGGCAGGGGTCGGCAACCAAATTAACAAGCAGAGCTATTTTTTTTATTTGGTAAAAAAATACTCGATATTTCAAGAGCCACGAGGAGGTGGTCATTAGTGAATAACGTCAAGAAGCAGTCTTTGAAGAGCCGCAGGTCCTTCAAAAACTGGACTCCTATGATAAATTTGACTCCCATGGTGAATTGGACTTCCATGGTAAACTGAACTTCCATGGTAAACTAGACTCCCACAGTGAATTGGACTTCCATTTTAAACTGGACTCCAATGATGAATTGGACTTTCATAGTAAACTGGACTCCCATGGTGAATTAGACTTCCATGGTAAACTGAACTTCCATGGTAAACTGGACTTCCATGGTAAACTAGACTCCCACAGTGAATTGGACTTCCATTTTAAACTGGACTCCAATGGTGAATTGGATTTTCATAGTAAACTGGACTCCCATGGTGAATTAGACTTCCATGGTAAACTTAATTTCCATGGTACACTTAACTTCCATGGTGAATTGGACTTCCATGGTAAACTAGACTCCCACAGTGAATTGGACTTCCATTTTAAACTGGACTCCAATGGTGAATTGGACTTTCATAGTAAACTGGACTCCCATGATGAATTAGACTTCCATGGTAAACTGAACTTCCATGGTACACTTAACTTCCATGGTGAATTGGACTTCCATGGTAAACTGGACTCCCATGGTGAATCGGACTTCCATGGTAAACTGGACTCCCATGGTAAATTGCACTGCTGCTGCTGCTGATATTGCAGCTGATGACGATCCACGGGCACTCCTCCTCCCACTCCCCGCTCCCCAGGGCCTTGTCGTCCGTGGTGGCGCTGGGGGCTAACGTGATCTGCAACAAGATTCCGGGGCTGGCGCCGCGGCAGCGCGCCATCTGCCAGAGCCGGCCCGACGCGATCATCGTGATCGGCGAGGGGGCCCAGCTCGGCCTCGCCGAGTGCCACTTCCAGTTCCGCCACGGCCGCTGGAACTGCTCGGCGCTGGGCGACACCACGGTGTTTGGACAGGAGCTGCGAGTCGGTGAGTCACACGGCGGCGCTCGCTGTGACAGCACTTGCCCCAATAGTCTGTTAAAGGCTATACCGGGGGGGACCTTTGTCTTTGTACTTTGGTGGTGCTGGTGGTGGCGTTGGTGGTGGTAGTGGTGAGCTCGCCGCAGCTATAAACCTGGCGGCCCGAGTTCGACTCCCGCTCACGAACATTCGCGCCGGTGACGATTATCTGAACCTGTCCTATGCCTTCCCCTAGGTCGACTCAGCCTCAAATTAGTACCTGGTTCGGTGTGTGAACATCGCAACAAGGGAGGAAAAGGCGTGGTGCTGGCCACCCACCCCCTCGTGTGCCGTGCCGGCCTTCACAAGTGCTCGCTAACAGCACTTGCCCCAACAGTTTGTTAAGGCTACACGGGGGATCTTTGTCTTCGGTGGTGGAGTGTTTGTGGTGCATCGGTCAGTCATCTTAGTCGGCCAACCCATGGCACCTGGGTCTGTCCCGTGACCTCCTGCCCGCGAGCCTTCGACATTTTCACCTGGCCTCAATGTGCACCTAGCCTGATACAAGCGCCATGGTGACGTCACCGCCACTTAGTGGCGAACAGCGATTTAATGTTGTTGCTGTGTGTGATGCGTGAGCTATGATACCAACTGAGCATGTTTCCCACTCACGGCCAAAACAGTGGCGAATATTTGAACAGGTCCGAGACCTTCCCTAGGCTGACTCGGCCTTCAACGAGTACCTGGTGCGGTGTGTAAACTTCCGCACTGGGACGAAAAAGGTGGCCGGACATGGTGTTGGCTACCCACCCACTTCGTGTGCCATGCCGGGCTTCATAGGTGTCCCGCTAACAGCACTTGCTCCAACAGCCTGTTCAGGGCTATATGGGGGGGGGGGGGGGGGGGGGGGTGGATATTTGTCTTTGTGAGCCCGAGTCGTACGTGTATGCTGTGCGCTTTTGAAGTCCCTCACAGCCTGCTCACAATCATCAAATTCCATAATCACTATTGTAGAGACTAGCCTAACCATAGGACAACCACTGTTGATGACCCACAGAGTGGTATGACTGCCGTTAATATAATAACCCAATGTGTCCTGACTGTTTTTGGGCCACCCCTGTATGTAGAGATCTGACTGCAGAGGTCTCACTCTGGCGAGGCTGTGCAGCGCTGTGTGCCAGCTGCCTGCCCTGGTAACTCCACAAGTAGCACCTGGGTCTTCTCATCCGCAAATATTGGGCCTTCTCTCTACCCTCGCAATTAAAAAAACATAACCCCCAATGCAGAAAAGCCTACGCCGGCCTAGGCCTTACAATCCATCATGTCCATGATACAGGGTTTTTTTGGGTTAGATCCAGGAAATATAAATGTGTCGTTAAACCCGCCACCACCCGACACAGCCAATTAGTAAGGCTTGTCACATTAAAAAAAACATGCCAATTATTTGCTAGTTCAGCACACCGGTGTGTTGGAGAATACTCGAACGGTAAATGTTGTGGGTTTACTCTTCAACACACCGGTGTGCTGAACTAGTATCGAATTGCCATGATTTGTTTACGCGACGAACCTTACCAATTGGCTGTGTGTCCGGCGGTGGCGGGTTTAACGACTCATTTAATATTCACGCGATCCAAACCCAAGTAGACTTCTATCATGGACACATTTGGCTCGCGAAAGCCAATGCGCTGAGCGATCCATCCTGTGTTTTAACCGGAACGGGATTTCTTCTCGTGGGCTCATAGATTCCGAGAGGATCTGAGCCGAGTGTCTTCAAGCAGGCGAGGAGAAGATGGAGGAGGAGACCGCCACAACTGCGTTTGCGTTGCCCACGCGTCCAAACCGCCGCACGTTTCTCGCAGCTTCCGTGTGTCCCGCTTCTAAGGGGCTCAAGGAAGTGCAGCCCGGGCTAGAGAGGGGATGGGGCCGCCGTGCCACGGAGAGGCACCTGGGGCCCCGAGTCGACTAGCCAGGCACTGGGAGGAACCGGGGGGGTGGCTCGTGAAAGACGTTACTAGGCAGTGGAGACAGCTGCCCTCCACAAACAAAAAGGACAGGCGGATAGAAGCTCGTAACATTTAGTGGAGTTACGCGGCGGCTAAATCAACGAGTTTGGTATGTTTGTGGTGCACCTGCAGATCGCCTCGGTCCGTTAACCAGTAACACTTGGGTCTGTCCCACGACTTCAAAGTGTCGGTAGCCTGGAGCAAGCACAAGGTTATGTCACTGCCATTTATCTGGGAATAGCAATAGCTGGTGGTGGTGTTTATGAGTTCCCAAGTAGTGTGAGTATCTCAGTGCTCTCCATGTGCACATGATTATCTGTCCCAGTAGTGTGTACACGTCTGTATAGCAGTTGCTCGCGAACAGCACTTGGCCCAATGGCCTGTTCAAGCTATACGGGGGGGGGCTTTGCCTTTGTAGCGGTTAGTGCGCTGCGCTACGAAGCCGGCGACCCGAGTTCGATTCCCGCTCACGGCCAACACCAGTGGCGATTATTTGAACCGGCCCTGTGCGTCCCCTAGGTCGACTCAGCATCAAATGAGTACCTGGTGCAGTGTGTAAAATCATCGCCACTGGGGGAGACAAAGGCGGTGGGGCGTGGTGCTGGCCACCCACCCCCTTCGTATGCCGTGCCAGCCTTCATAGGTGCTGCTCGTGAACAGCACTTGCCCCAGCAATCTGTTCAGGCTATACGGGAGATCTTTGTCTTGGCGTGTTCCAGTTGTGTTTGTGCGGCGGTCCCCATTCATTATAATGAAATCGCCTTGAGCGCCACAACTATTGAGGCATGTCCCCTGCTCGGCGTGCCTTGAGAGTTCACGGCCAGGATCACTCAGCGTCCTCTCGGCAGGCACGCTGAGAAGCTCGCGGAGCCCCGGAGTGAAGTTGAGACAAGCATTCGGCCATCCTGATACAGACACCGGAAGTTCTGCGTCTACTACAGCCAAGAGATGTTAGGGACTTTCAACTGGACCTGCACACCTTTTTAATGTATGTATTGATCTGGTCAAGGCCTATGATACCATCAAGAGGCCAGAGATTTATATTTTTTTTGGGGGGGGAGGTGGTCTTTGATCTTCTGATTATGGTCATTTAGGACCTTCGTGATGGTGGTCGGGCCTGCTTAAAGCTGCATTGCCTTACCAGAGTTAGAGCCATCACGCACCGCCGATTAGTGCGGTTGGCCACGTACGGTGCGAAAGAAGTTCAATATACGTACATACATGCCTTGTTCACCTTGGGGTGCAGTATGCGATGTCCTCTGGCTCCTAAATGAACGTAAATATTAACCATGTATGTTGAGGCTTCCACGATTGTAAGTGGAATTTCCATACCTGTCAACCCCTTATCAGTGCCTCCTTTATTACAGACCAATTCAGATCTTATTGGTCACCCCGTGCCCTTATAAAGCTCAACGTTCATCCTACAAAGTCCCATCACAAGGGAGAAACACAAAAATACATGTTTTTTTTTTGCCCGTATTGAAACGGCTGTACGCCTTATGTACCTGAAGACTCAATTCCCCTGTACAAGAATACGGATAAACCGTATGGGTTGACGGGTGTGGATTTCCATCGGGTGCAGATTCAAACGGGAGGCCAATCAATGCCCGAGGAGCTATTTAGGGATAACTCTCCTCCTGGCAAACCACGTCATGTAGCCTGATGACTTCTAAGAAGGAGCTGGAGACTAAGCAGGGAGTACGTTCCAGGCCTGTGCACGTGTGTCCGTGCGTCCCACTAGGGGTGCGCGTTCTAGTACAATGTGCAGTGTGTGTGTGTGCACGTGTGTGCCCACGTGTATGTTCCAGTACTGCGTGTTGTCTTCGTGTGCAGTTTTGTGTTTGTGTGTAGGTATGTGGGGGGAGCGGTGGTGGCGCGGTTAGCACGTTGCGCTACGAACCCGGCGACCTGAGTTCGATTCCCCAATCACGGCCAACACCAGCGACCACTATCTGAACCGGTCGTGGGCTTCCCTTAGGTCGACTCAGCCTCAAATGAGCGCCTGGTGCGATGTGTAAACATCGCCACGGGGGAGACAAAGGCGTCTGGGCACCCGCTTGCTTCCCCTGCTCACCTTGCACAGTGCTCGCTAACAGCACTTGCCCCCACAGTCTGCAAGAGCTATACAGGGGGGTCTTTGTCTTTCTTAAGTACTGCGTGCACGCACGCGCGTGTGTGTGTGTGTGCGTGCACAGGAGTGTGTGTGTGTGTTTGTGTCAATGCGTGTGTGTGTTGCAGTAGCGTGTGTGTGCGATGGAGGGTGTAAATTGTGTGGAGGCTGCCTTCACATGCCATTATTACTGCCTGGACCACAGGATTTGAAGAATATTCTTGGTAGTCTTCCTTTTTTAAGAAGGGAGAACTGCTCGCATTGTAAGAATTCCCGGGGCACCTTCCTCCACCAATGTGTCGGCCCTGAAAGGTCCAGGCAAGGATTATTGAACATCGCCTTGCCAGGCACGCAAAGGTGAAAGAGAGTGGAGGAGTTCCCAGTGCTTGGGCGGTGTGCCGATGGTCAGCCCCAGCTTGGCAGCAAGACGTTCCCACCTCGAATCAGTCGAGAGGCATCCCATTGGCTGTGTAACGTTACGGCGCAGCTATCTGGCCAGTTGCTCCATACGAAGCTCCAAGTCATCCTCACAGCAACGCCTGCACTGGCTTGAAGCATTCAGGCTGACCCGGCCGCGTGATACACCCTGGGTTCAACCGGGCAATATTGTGTGAGGAGCTCACAGATCATTGGAAGCTCTAAGCAGTATCTAGTTTGAGACGGCATGGTAGCGAGATGTTAACTACATCGCCTGGCATACAGGAGGTCGTGGCTTCGATCCCGACCTTGACGCCTGCTGTATATTTGGGGTTTCCATGTTCTTCCCCTGGTCGCGTGGATTTTTAACCGGTCCTCCGGTGTTTCCCTCCACATTTAGACACGTGCGTTTAGAGTATATGTGGATGCTATAAATGTCCACGTGATGATAAGCCACTTCCTTGAGCTGTCATTTGTGGCCAGGTCGCTGCTGAAAAAAAAAGATCTATATAGGTCAGTGGGGCCTTACCTGGTAAAACAAAATAAAAAGTTGAGTTGAATAGTTTTCGTTTGGCACTGGCACGTGCTGAGAGTGGCAGTTGTTGCCCTGTTTGTTCTCATCACGTGTGCCACGACACGCAAGGGTTGTAGTTCCCGGTGTGGGTACACGGGTGAGCACGTGTGTGTGTGTGTTCCATGCGAGCGCATTCGAGCTAGCACTGTGTGTGCGTGTGCCTGCATGCGTTCCATTCGCATGTGGGGAGCGGCGGAGCAGAGGTTAGATCACGGGAACCGGTCCTATGCCTTCCCTAGGTTGACTCAGCCTCAAATGTACGGCGTGTAAGCTTTGCCACTGGTGCTAGTCACACCACCCCCTCATGCGCCATGCCCCGCATCTCAGATTAGCACGGTTGCCTACGTACGGTGAAAAATAAGTTCAACATACATACATCTGTAGTGTGCTAATTCACAGACACGAGTAGGTGGTTTTCTCTCTCTTTTATTCCGGCTTTCATAGCCTCAGGGGGTAACTACATAGTGGGTCGAAACAGCCAACATGCTGCCAGAGCCACAGCTTGCAGAGGACGAAGATCACGACGACGGAGTGGCGAGTTCCACTCCAGATCGCAGCAGCCCCGACTGTAAGTCGGAGCTCGCCTTTTATCCTCACCCAGCGTGGCCAGGCTCCGCCCTCGGCCCCGCGCCCCTCTGGATCCCCCAGATGGCTCCGTGCCTTGCCCACAGGCTCCGTGCCTTGCCCACAGGTGCAATTGGTAGAACGGGCTACTACCCATAATTCTATTGTCTACCAGTCTCCCAGCGGCACGCGCTACAGTGACTCATTCCATGTCACTACACATGTTTTGCCGGCCTTCATAGGTGCTCGCGAACAGCACGCGCCTGAACATCACGTGTAAGCTACATAGGGGATCTTGATCTTGGTGATCTTTGTGATCTTGGTGAGCTCCGGGAGGCTTTCAACAGCGCGTCTCGGTAAAGTGCGAGATTCGACAGCACGCCTGTCCTGCGTGTCGCAGTCGCACGCCTATCCCAGCTGTTCAGCAACGTGGCCATTCGGCGAAGTGTCGCAATTCGATTCGAGTGAGAATTCACGTTTCGTCTCGTTTGCGTTGCTTGTTGTTATTGTTTTTTTTCCTTCTTCTCCGTGTCGCTCGTACACCTTTTTGTTCACCCCATTAGCCGAAGCAGGATATCAATCGCAACCGCTCGTCCGTCTCTCTCGCACGCGATCCGACGCAGTGCATCGTGAGCAGAAGGAATCAATTTGAAGAGACGCATCGAATGCGGAGACGCCGAGGTCGTGAACGAAATATAACACCGATCGTAACCTGCAAAAGTCTGCTGCATGCAGAGACGCAGGCTTGGAATTACACCATTCGACAAAACAGAGAGAGAGGTGCACGTGGATGAAAGAAGACACACACACAGCTGCATCACATCGTCCAAAGTATTGAGAAAAGTGATTGGGGCTTGGGCAGGACGCATCAATCAACCAATCCGAGATTTGTCACGCGCCACGTTGAGCAACAATCTGAGATGGAAGGGGCGGGCGGCGCTGAGAACATTCACCCGAACGCGAGGAGCAGAAGAAAAACCAATGTTATATTAGTCCGATCTTAAAATCACCGATCGTCGCGACTGACCGGACTTTCAGGTGGCAGAGACTGTTCCAAACCACGGGCCTGCGGGTGAGAAGCTGCGTCCTGATGTCCTAAGCCGAGTGGATGTCAAACTAAACTGAACTATTTTTATATTCTTGGTTCTTTCGGTAAAGTCACGTAGAAGGGAAATAATAAAATAATAAAAATAAAATTGAATTCTCACGACGTTTCGGCCACAACGCAAGCAGCCGTCCTGAGAATTTTATTTTTTATCATTTTATTATTTCCCTTCTACGTGACTTTACCGAAAGAACCAATAATATGAATCCCTGCAGTCACGAAAGCTTTAAATCGAAATTGAACTATGTTTTTTTATTTACCAGGTAAGGCCCACTGAGCTGTATAGCTCTTTTTCAGGAGCGATCTGGCCACAAATGATAGCTCACCGAAGTGGCTTATCATCACGTGGAAATGTATAGCAGCCAAATACTCTAAACGCGTGATTCTAAATGTGGAGGGAAACCCAGCGCATCCGGAGAAAAATCCACGCGACCACGGGGGGAAAACATGCACATTCCAAATATACAGCAGGCGTTCGGGCCGGGATCTAACCCACGACCTCCTGAATACCAGGCGAGGTAGCTAACATCTCGCCACCGTGCCAGCAGGTCCATGCCGTCACTGGAAGGGTCGATGGATCGATGGTCAAGCATAATAACGGAATGGCAGTCAAGGAACTGAACGCATCCGAGGAGATGGAGCTGTGAAATCGGTGCCATCACAAGGTCGTCAGAGGTGACGACGGCTTGGACAGGCCTTCATCCAGCAGTGGATTGGCCACGGCTGCTGATGATGATGAATAAATGCGTCCTTACACGCCTACTTGTTAGAGTTAAGTGTTTTTCATTGGAACGCTGTCTTCCCGACAGCTCTGTTTCTTCACATGAAGACGGCTGCCTGTGTTGTGACCGAAACGTAGTGATAATTTTATTTTATTATGTTTTATTTTTATTATTTTATTATTTCCCTTCTACGTGACATTACCGAAAGAACTAAGAAAATGTTTGTGTGACCTTCAACAAAGGGCTTGGGCGATCTGGCCAACTCACCTTAGCGGGTCTGACCCAGCGTGATGTGTGGGTATGTGGTGCTCTTGGTGCGTCCTGTGGGGAGCGGTAGCGTGGTGGGTAGCGCTACGCTGCGCTACGAATCCGACAGAGACCCGAATTCAATTCACGCTCGCGGCCAACACCGGTGACGAGTATCTGAACTGGTCCTGGGTCTACCCTAGATCGACTCAACCTCAAATGAGTACCAGGTGTATGATATGTAAACATCTACTTTCGGGAGACAAAGGCGGCCGGGCGTGGTGTCGGTCACCCACCCCCTCGTGTGCCGTGACGGACTTCATATGTCCTCGCTAACATCACCTTGCCCTTCCAGCCTGTGAATGCTACACGGGGTATTTCGCCGCCGTGGCGAGTGGGAGATGTGATCGCCCTCGCCTGTTGCAAAGCAGCCGCGTGGGTTCGATCCCGGGCCCTGACGATGCCTGTTGTGTTCACTCTCGCCCGTGGTGGTCGCGTGGACTATTCGCAAAGCTCCTCCGGTTTTTTTTTGCTCTTTTCAAATTTATAAACGTGCGTTTAGATTGCTTTCCCATGACGATACAAAAGTGTCCACGTGTGGTGACGATCCCAGTCACTTGGATGGGCTATCGTCACACGCGGTGGCCAGGTCACCCTCCGAAGAAAAAAGAGCTCATCGCTCGGTGGGCTTAACGTGGTAAAATAAATATTCATTTTTTAAATATTTTAGTTTCATCTTAGTCTCTCGGTGGCGATGACCAACCACGTACGCTGAACTTCCTTCGCACCGTATCGCAGCAAGCCAGCCGTGCTCATCGGGAGGCGTTCGGGCGGTTCGCTGTTGTTGCGCGCATTGCCAGGTAGCCGAAAAGGCCACTTCCACCTACTCGCTGCTGACCGCCGGGGTCACCCGCGCCATCAGGTTGACCTGCAGCCGCCGCACCGCGTGCCACAGTCAGGGGCCATCCATTCAGTCCGTACGCATGGAGTGGGAGGAGGGGGGGGGGGGTTAACCCAAATGCGTTCGCTTGTGTATGGGGGATCTGCTGACAATCTGCATACGCATAGGAAACGGGGGGGGGGGGGGGTAAAGCCTCGATAATAATAATGCAGCCGTCGGTGAACTATCTGTTTGCTTAAACACGTCAATATTATGAATCCTTGATCGTTTCTGCGTGGATGAAAAATCGGATTAAATATCGACCGTTCCATAGCATTCGTGCGTACAGGGAGGAGGAGGGGTGGGGTGGGGTGGGGGGGAGTCAAGTTCTGACAGATTTTTGCGTACTGACTAAATGGATGGGCCCCTAAGCCAGCCGTGCTAATCGGGAAACGTTCGTGCAGTTGTTCACGTCTCGTGGCGCGCTGCTGCCGCCGCTGCTGCTGCTGTTGCTGCTGCTGCCAGGAAGCCGAGAGGCCGCCTTCACCTACTCGGTGCTGGCCGCCGGCGTCGCCCACGCCGTCACGTCGGCCTGCAGCCGCGGCAACTTAAGCGAGTGCGGCTGCGACCGCCACAAGCAGGGCTTCAGCGAGGCCCTCGGCCTCGCCGGGGAGCGCGACGAGGGCTGGAAATGGGGCGGTTGCTCGGCCGACATCCGCTACGGCCTCGACTTCTCGCGAATATTCGTGGACGCGCGGGAGATCAAGCAGAACGCGCGCACGCTCATGAACCTGCACAACAACGAGGTCGGTAGGAAGGTGAGAGAGCGGCGCCCCCCCCCCCCCCACACACACCCCACATCACCCCCCCCCCCACTTCATTGGTCATCCGTGGGGGGTTTTTGTTGTTGCGCGGCCCCCGTCTGGGCGAGCGCGGAAGCCGCTCGGTGGTGCTGCAGAGCAGGTGGGCAGAGCCGGTGGGGAGAGCCGGTGGGCAGAGCCGGTGGGCAGAGCAGGTGGGCAGAGCCGGTGGGGAGAGCCGGTGGGGAGAGCAGGTGGGCAGAGCCGGTGGGCAGAGCAGGTGGTGAGAGCAGGTGGGGAGAGCAGGTAGGCAGAGCAGGTGGGCAGAGCCGGTGGGCAGAGCAGGTAGGCAGAGCAGGTGGGCAGAGCAGGTAGGCAGAGCAGGTAGGCAGAGCAGGTGGGCAGAGCCGGTGGGCAGAGCAGGTGGGGAGAGCAGGTGGGCAGAGCAGGTGGAGAGAGCAGGTGGGGAGAGCAGGTGGGGAGAGCCGGTGGGCAGAGCAGGTGGGCAGAGCAGGTGGGGAGAGCAGGTGGGCAGAGCCGGTGGGCGGAGCAGGTGGGTGGAGCCGGTGGGCAGAGCAGCTGGGCAGAGCAGGTGGGCAGAGCAGGTGGGGAGAGCAGGTGGGGAGAGCAGGTGGGCAGAGCAGGTGGGCAGAGCTGCTGGGCAGAGCAGGTGGGCAGAGCAGGTGGGGAGAGCAGGTGGGCAGAGCAGGTGGGCAGAGCAGGTGGGGAGAGCCAGTGGGCAGAGCAGGTGGGCAGAGCCGGTGGGCGGAGCAGGTGGGTGGAGCCGGTGGGCGGAGCAGGTGGGCAGAGCAGGTGGGCAGATCCGGTGGGGAGAGCAGGTGGGGAGAGCAGGTGGGCAGAGCCGGTGGGGAGAGCCGGTGGGCGGAGCCGGTGGGGAGAGCCGATGGGCAGAGCAGGTGGGCAGAGCCGGTGGGCGGAGCAGGTGGACAGAGCAGGTGGGGAGAGCCGGTGGGCAGAGCCGGTGGGCCCTCTCTTCCCTCCACGCTGTCGCTCGCTCGCTCTCCTTGCCGCTCTTTCGCTCCTCCTGTCACGCTGTCATTCTGTCGCTCTCCCTGTCGCCCTCCACCACTCTCCCTGTGGCTCTCCACCACTCTCCCTGTCGCTCGCTCTCCCTGTCGACCTCCACCACTCTCCTTGTGGCTCTCCACCACTCTCCCTGTCGCTCTCTCTCGCTCTCCCTGTCGCCCTCCACCACTCTCCCTGTCGCCCTCCACCACTCTCACTGTCGCTCTCTCTCGCTCTCCCTGTCGCCCTCCACCACTCTCCTTGTGGCTCTCCACCACTCGCCCTGTCGCTCTCTCTCGCTCTCCCTGTCGCTCTCTCTCGCTCTCCCTGTTGCGCTCCCCACGCCACCGCCAACCCTGTGAGGGATAGCGGCGGCGTGGGGAAGTCTTCATCCAGCAGCGGAGAGACACTGGCTGATGAGACTCCTCATGATGATCATGATGACAGCTGGAGATAATGGTAACGATACCAGCTGCAGCTGCTGCTGCGGCTGCTGCTGATGATTTTCTTGCTGCTGTTGTGACGGCGGCGACGATGATGATGATGAAGAATACACTGCCCTCGGCATTGCATTCCTCCACACTAAGTGACAGGCAACTGCGAAACCGGAGTCGCCACGTGTGACACGGCACCGTGGCTTTGCCGGGGCTCATTGAGAAGTTGTTCCGAAATGTTGGCTCCAGTGATCTCGCACGATGGTCTGAGGCTCAGGCTGGGAGGATACAAAAACATGTCAAATACATTTTTCACTTTACCAGGTAAGGCCCACTGAGCTATGTAGCTCAGTGGGCCAGAAGCGACCTGGCTATCGCGAATGATAGCTCAACGAAGTGGCTTGTCACGTGGACATGTATAGCAGCCAAATACTCTAAACGCGTGTTTCCCGGAGAAAAATCCACGCGACCACTGAGACAGAGAGAGACATGAAAACTCCAAATATTCAGGTGTAAGGGTGTTATAAGCACCCTTAGCAATTACACGGGCATCATGGTCGGGATCGAACCCACGAGCTGCTGTATACCAGGAGAGGTAGCTAACAGAGGCGCGAGGAGGTGAGCAGCGGCAGGGGGCGACCTCCTTCCCGTGGGTGCTGCTCAGCGGATGGGAAAGACGGCGCTCGCCGAGTCGATCTGATCTCTCCCTGCCTCTCTCCCTGCCTCTCTCCCTGCCTCTCTCCCTGCCTCTCTCTCTGCCTATCTCCTTTCCTCTCTCCCTGCCTCTCTCCCTGCCTCTCTCCCCGTCTCTCCCTGCCTCTCCCAGATGGTTCAGCGCCTCTCCCAGATCGCGCACGTAGCCACACGGGTGCAAGGTGGTAGTGGCGGGCTATCAAGTCATTCCTCGCCATCTCTGAGCCTCCCTCCCGTCTCCCTCCCTCCATCCCGTGTCTCACTCCCTCTCACCTCCTGACTCACTCCCCTTACCTCCCTGCTGTCTCCCTCCCTCCATCCCGTGTCTCACTCCCTCTCACCTCCTGACTCACTCCCCTTACCTCCCTCCCGTCTCCCTCCCTCCATCCCGTGTCTCACTCCCTCTCACCTTCTGACTCACTCACCTTTCCTCCCTGCTGTCTCCCTCCCTCCATCCCGTGTCTGCCTCCCTCTAACATCCTGAATCCCTCTCCTTACCTCCCTCCTACGCCTCCCTGTTCTGTCCCTCCCTGGCTCCCGCTCGCTTCAATCTGAGACATCGCCCAGCGTCTGCGGCCGTCTGGAACGCTCTTGCGATCTTAGGAAGCCACTGGAGCTATGCAATTCTAAATCATTTAGATTGACAACGCATTTCTTTAAAACGGCTTTTTATGTTGAGATTGTTGTCCTTCTCTCGAACTTTCGATTAGCACGGTTGGATATGTACGGTGCAAAATAAGTTCAACATACATACATGCAGGAGCGCGATCACTGATCGTTGCAAAGGTTCACGGTTCTAATCCAGCGGGCCACCCTGATTAATACTGCGTGGTGTAATACAACTAAACTCATTTTATTTTACTAGGTAAGGCCCACTGAGCTATGTAACTCTTTTTCAGAAGCGATCTGGCCACAAATGATAGATCAACGAAGTGACTTATCACGTGGAAATGCCGAATACTCTATACGTGTGATATTGATTATAATATTGATTATAATCAATATCATAATTATAATATAATTATAATATTGATTATAATCAATATCACGCCACATTTATAATTATAAATTATACTATTATAAATGTGGCGTGATAATTATAAATGTGAAGGGAAGATCGGAGGACCCGGAGAAAAATCCACGCAACCACGGGGAGAGAGACACGCAAACACCAAATATACAGCAGCAGCAGGCGTCAGGCTCGGGATTGAACCCACGGCCTCCTGTATACCAGGCGAGGTAGTTGACATCTCCTCGCTACCATGGCGCCGCTGGCCGCAATGCCACTACGCGCCGTCTGCTTTCACGGTGGACGTGAGAGATCCCGTGACGCCGTTAGCAAGAGTAGGCCACTGGGGTGCCGGCGTCAGGGTCCAAATTTGCCACATTTAAAAAACGACACCGCAAATTGCACGGCTGGGATTACACAGCCAGCAATAAATGCCCCCCCACCCACTATCACTTCCCCCCGTGCCCCTACCGGGCCAGCAGATTCATTGCCCAGGTCACTCTCTCGCAGACGATCCCTCGTCGCTAGAGTTCTCACCGCGTTAACACGGATCGACTCGAGACGCGACTGCTGCGTCTCGACGCTGCCTCCATCGCTGCCGCCCGGCCACCCCGTCGCGCAACGCCGATTTTGCGATGCGAAACGATCAACGTTTTTTTCTTATTCAAATTAACGACGACTATTCGCGATGTCGGTTTAGCGGAACTTCGCCGTCGTACATTGAGCAGTTTCGCTGCGGTGTGCTTCACCGCTCGTCCCAGTGCGTGTAACGTAGGTCTGAGCGCTCTTAAACTGCCATTCGCTCAACGTTCGCCTGCCACGAGTCTCCAAATCAATGCAAGACTTACTAACTATAGTATAACGCACGTGCTACGAGTTTCAACTAAATTTCAAAATAAATTTTGAAAAAATCAAACTACGAACATCACGACGTCCATTACTCGACAAGAAGATTGACACTAAGCGCTCACTTACTGGCTGATAGGTATTTACTTAGAAATTAATTAAATTGTCTTTGTTACGTTGTAAATATAGTGTCAGCAAATAAATAACCGAGCCAAGACAGCGGGACGCCGTGGTGGCGAGATGTTAACTACCTCGCTTGGTATACAGGAGGTGATGACGCCTGCTGTATATGTAGAGTTTGCGTGTCTCTCTCCCCGTGGTCGCGTGGATTTTTCTCCGGGTGCTCCGGTTTTTCCCTCCACATTTAGAATCAACAACACGTGTTTGGAGTATTTGGCTGCTATGAATGTCCACACGATGATAAGCTACTCCGTTGAGCTATCATTTGTGGCCAGGTCGCTTCTGAAAAGTATATATATATAGCTCAGTGGGCCTCACCTGGTAAAATAAAGATTAGTTTCGTAGTTTTACTTTAGTTTAACTCCGTTACCACCCAGTACACGCCCCGAACAAATCCCAGAGTGGACTCGGATTTACCTTTGCGCGTCTCTCGCTTGTCTCACCCCCTAAACGCATCCATACGTCCCACACAATCAACCACACGTCCACCCAACTGCACACCCACACAACTCGTACAAACACACATCCACCCACACAATCAACCATACACATAGCTACCCACACATACACACACCAACACACACAAGCATCCAACTGCACACTCACACAACCATATCTTCATATAATTATTTACCCAAACACATCCGTTTACCATAATACTCACCCAACACACAAACGTATCTACTTACTAACACTTCCACCCACACACACTCACCCAACCACTTCTTATCGACACACACTCATCCACACGCCAATCCACACAACCACCCACCCACACACCTCCATAACCCCATACCCACCAATACACACACACCTCCATAACCCCATACCCACCAATACCCACCCACACACACTCCATAACCCCATACCCACCAATACACACACACCTCCATAACCCCATACCCACCGATACGCACCCACACACACTCCATAACCCCATACCCACCAATACCCACCCACACACACACCTCCATAACCCCATACCCACCAATACACACACACACCTCCATACCCACCAATACACACACACCTCCATAACCCCATACCCACCGATACGCACCCACACACACTCCATAACTCCATACCCACCAATACACACACACACCTCCATACCCACCAATACACACACACCTCCATAACCCCATACCCACCGATACGCACCCACACACACTCCATAACCCCATACCCACCAATACACACCCACACACACACAAAGGCAAAGATCCCCCTATAGCCTTAACAGACTGTCGGGGCGAGTGCTGTTAGCGAGCACCTTTGAAGGCCGGCACGCCGCACGAGGGGGTGGGTGGCCAGCACCACGCCCGACCGCCTTTGTCTCCCCCCAGTGGCGATGTTCCCACACCGCATCGCGTCCTCATTCGAGGCTGAGTCGTCTTAGGGGAGGGCGCAGGACCGACTCAGACAATCTCCACCGCGCGTCTTGGCCGTGAGCGGGCACTCGAACTCGGCTCGCCGGGTTTCGCGAGCGCGGCGCGGCACGCTAACCCACCGCCACCGCCCTGCCCGCAGGTGCTGGAGGAGCGCATGAAGCTGGAGTGCAAATGCCACGGCGTGTCCGGCTCGTGCACGACGCGCACCTGCTGGACCATGCTGCCGCGCTTCCGCGAGGTGGGCCACGCGCTCAAGGAGAAGTACAACTCGGCCGTTCACGTGGAGCCGGTGCGCGCCAGCCCACACCGGCGGCCCGCCTTCCTCAAGGTGAAGTCGACGCCTAGGAACTATCGCAAGCCCATGGAGACCGACCTGGTGTACATCGACCGCTCGCCGAGCTACTGCGAGGAGGACCCCGCGTCGGGCAGCCTGGGCACGCGGGGTCGGCTCTGCAACCGCACGTCGCCGCACGCCGACGGCTGCGACCTGCTGTGCTGCGGCCGCGGCTACAACACGCACCTGTACACGCGCGCGTGGCAGTGCAACTGCAAGTTCCACTGGTGCTGCTACGTCAAGTGCAATACCTGCAGCGAGCGAGTGGAGGTGTTCACCTGCAAGTGACGGGGGGGGAGGCGGAGAGACAGAGAAATCGGGAGAGACAGAGGGGGAGAGAGAGAGAGGCGGTGGCGGTCGGAAGAGAAAGGCGAGGGAAGAGGCGGGCGGGCGAGCGGTGCTAGGATTAAAGCGGAGTGAGAGACGGGGAGATGGAGGTTGAGAAGGGCGGTGGAGAGAGACAGAGAGAGAGAGATAAGACAGAGGGAGGTGCAAGTGGTGGCGGAAGAGAAGGGTAGAGGAGGAGGGCGGTGGCCGTGTGGTTAAAGCGGAGAGAGGCGGGGGAGTTGTGCGTCGCGGACGGGACGCGGAGGAGATGGGGACGTCGGAGGGGTTGGAGGAGCGGTGGGCAAGTCGTCGACTGGGTGGGATGGAGCGAGGGAATTGTGAATGTTACGACTGGCGGTGGGACTTTGAACGTACGGGGCGATCAGGGTGCAGCACCATCATTGTCGGCAGCAGCAGCAGCAACAGCTGTAGCTGCGTCAAGATCATTACCATTGTCATAGCTGTTACCATCATCATCATCATCATCGTGATCATCCTCATCAGCAGCAGGAGCAGCATTAGCAGCCGATAACGCAAGCCAAGAGACTATGGACTCCTCTGTCGGACGTGAGGGTGGCGTGCCAGGAGCGCATGCCTCCTTCGCCCAGGCTATGGGCTTGAGCAATAATTGCTTGATTAATTTGAGCAATAAGGCCACTGTGGGACAATTTCACTCCCACATTTTGGGTATATCTTTCATGGATCCCTCGACCACTCTACATTGGTGGCGTCGGCCACGTAGGCCCTCACCCCAGCTCCCCTAATATATTAATATATTTTTTAACCAGAAAAGGCCCACTGAGCTATGTAGTTATTTTTCAGAATCGACTTAGCCACACTTGGTAGCTCAACGAAATGGCATATCATCACGTGGAAATTTAGAGCAGTCAAATACTCTTAACTTCACAATTGTTCCCACACGACTCAGTTCCATATTGGTACGAGGTAGATCAAAATGAGGGCCACTTTGTCGTAGAGTCCGCAGTGCTTGTGCTATGATGAAATGGCTCATCCTCGCCAAGAGAATGGGGAATTTCCACCACCCGCTAGAGAGGTGAGCCACACATTGCGTCCTTGTTTGAGTGGTGGTTGGGCCGCTTTGAAGCTGACTTTTTTAATAAATGGTAACCACAAAATATCTTTTAAAAAAAGGTTATAAAGAGAGATATATATTTTCAATATACATATAAGGGGCGGTCGAAAATTGTTGACTTCTATTTACTAGGCGTGCAAGACTGCATTGGGTTCACCCCTTAAAAATCAAATAGTCCGCTCGTGGGTCGTGCATCAATTAGTTCGTTGGAAGACGCGATTATTTAGAATTCCTGCAAATCGTATGCGAGCTAGATGCTCGTGCAACAGTTAGGTTAATGGGACGAACAAAAACTATACAAACGAGACGGGGGAGAAAGAGTCCCCCCCCCACCCCCACCTCCCTCCACCAAGAAACAACGCGGACGACAACTCACGACCCCCCTACAAGGAATCAGGGAAACCGATAGAATTTCTGCGGGTGGCGAATTGTCACGTGACTACTATCGATGCTCTCGACACGCTTGTAGCCGTACGGAGCAACGTAACGGAGCAATGGACCGTAACACCACTGCACTAGCGTATACTGCACCGGCTGTGTGGTGATAGAAGTAATGAGGGTGGTGTAGGCACAAAAACGCAAGCAAGATCCCGGTCTCATTGCATTTTTGGGTGGTCGGATTCAGACCTCCGCCGAACCGGGCTGGAACACGTGGGCGCGATTGTGTCACCCAACCGGTGATGGCGGAGACCATGGAGCGTCTTTGCCGAAACTCGGGACGGAGAGAGGCACCGTCGTCGTGAGGCGGTTTCGGGCCGCGTGAGTTTTGTGCCGGGGGTATTTTACACGGCTCGTTCTTGAGGTTTGTTTTCGACAGCCCGTTGCTTGCATGCGTCGAGTGTGTACGTGCACGCACGCGCGTTTTGTGTGTGCGCGTGCGTGTGTGTTTATATAAGTTATATGGCAGGTTGCACTGGAATAACGTACCGTACACTTAACCGGAAGAGCGTCTCGATTCGATCACTACAAAACTGTATTTTTTCACAAATGCCACGATATCGTGCGAGTGACACCCGTGTTTGAACTTCTTCATCAGCACCGGACGTAGCCAACCATGCTTTGTGCGATGTCACCAGAGGGCCAAGGGGGTGGCCGTACAGCAGATCGAACGACTTAGTTGGTAGACTTTTGTAGGCAATTAATGAACCCTTTCCCATTCCGATTACGTGCATGTACGTCATCAGTTTTTCTTCCAATTCAATTCCGATGCCGTACGATTCCATTCCAATGACTTTCGTGCATGTCAACGGAACGGAATTGGAAGTAGAAGGCCATGCGGGAGGATGTGTGGCTCAGTTTGGCACCAGCCATCGTAGAGTGCGGTTGTGTCGATACAGTTCTTTGCGGGTAAGTACAGTACAAGGTCTTTAAAAACAACAGCGCTACGCCTCTCTGAATAAAATGAACGCAGGGGCCGCTTGCGCGTTCCGAGCTTTGGCAGTGAACGAGACACCCACCCTGCAGCTTGCAGACGTCTCGGAAGGGTTAATTGACTGAGCGAGGAGGTCAACTCACAACGAGGTCCAGGCGATTTCTGTCGCTCACTTGCCCTAAGCCTCACCCAAGTGGTGGCCCTAGGCACAATCAAACTAAGCGACTGCGTAGGGCCCCAAGTAACACGAAGGCCCTCCAGGTTCGTGAAGAGGGATCAAACAAATACCACCATCAAATTCAAATCCTAATATTCAAAGTCGCAGATTGGCATTAAAGGGGCTAACTTATCCCTCTCATTCCTATATCGTCTGAAGTCTCTCATCGAACTTCATCTTTGTCTCTTGGCTATACCTCTCTTATGTCACTACATCTGTCTTCTATGCTGATGATCTCGAGTCTCTGATCTCACTACGTCGCTATCTCTTGTCTATATCTCTCCTGTCATCTCATTAAGAGTGTATATATCGACCGTAGGGCCCCAAATGAACTGCACTACTACTGACCCCAACCATGGACTCTAAAACCACATTTCCGGCTATTTAGGGACAACCGTTACAATTATTTGAGACTTCTACCAATTTTTAGGAGTTGTGAATTTATATTTCTCCTGAACGTTCAGTTTGTATGGAACTGTCAGGCAGTCCCGGTGGATTGTAAGGCAGTCCAAGTGGATTATAAAGCAGTCCAAGTGCATTGTAAGGCAGTCTTGGTGGATTGTCAGTCAGTCCGAGTGGATTGTCAGGCAGTCCGAGTGGATTGTCACGCAGTCCGAGTGGATTGTAAGGCAGTCTCGGTGGATTGTCAGGCAGTCTTGGTGGATTGTCAGGCAGTCCAAGTGGATTGTCAGGCAGTCCGAGTGGATTGTCAGGCAGTCCGAGTGGATTGTCAGGCAGTCCGAGTGGATTGTCAGGCAGTCCGAGTGGATTGTCAGGCAGTGTGGGTGGATTGTCAGGCAGTCCAAGTGGATTGTAAGGCAGTCCGAGTGGATTGTCAGGCAGTCCGAGTGGATTGTCAGGCAGTGTGGGTGGATTGTCAGTCAGTCCGAGTGGATTGTCAGGCAGTCCAAGTGGATTGTAAGGCAGTCCGAGTGGATTGTCAGGCAGTCTTGATGGATTGTCAGGCAGTGTGGGTGGATTGTCAGGCAGTCCGAGTGGATTGTCAGGCAGTCCGAGTGGATTGTCAGGCAGTCTTGATGGATTGTCAGGCAATCTTGATGGATTGTCAGGCAGTCCGAGTGGATTGTCAGGCAGTGTGGGTGGATTGTAAGGCAGTGTGGGTGGATTGTAAGGCAGTGTGGGTGGATTGCCAGGCAATCTTCGCAAAATTGTGGGTAGTGTCGGTGGGCAGTCTGGGAGAATCGGTGAGACTTCGGGGCCGTCACGGCGACCTGCGCGGAGGCCCAGAAACAGCTCGAAGCATGTCAGACGATTCGCACCGAAACCGCCGCGCAGCGGCGCATTGTGGGCGACAGAGATTCTACTGATGAGTGTCAACTACTGACGGATGGTGAGCGAGTCGACTTGGGGGGGGGGGGGGGGGTGAGCGGGTGGGAGATGAGCAATTTCATTTAGTTCGTCGTCACCGCCGTCCGATGGGATTGCCCGCGACCTCAACACGCCGCCCGCCGGCTACCGAGACGACGAATCTCTCTCTCGCTTTGGTTATCTCAGCGACGCGCGGCGCGGGGGGAGGGGGGGGGCGCTTTGGCCCTGCCCCGGCGATTGCGGTTATTTATTTATTTACTTGACGCTATGCGGCGATCTCTGCAGAGAAGTGCCGGCGGTGGCGGCGGCGGTGGCGGCGGCGCGTTGGTGGCGCCCCCTGCTCCAGGCCATGGGAGTGGGAACCGCGCAGAGACCGCACGGAATTTGTCGCTCGAATAAAGCGAGGCCAATGACGACTCCCGACGGCTGCCACCCCCCCACCCCCAACCTGCTGTGCTTTCTTAGCGTAAGCTCTGGTCGTGACTCTTAATGCAGCCCCAGTACAAGGCTTACACCCTGACCTTATGAACCCTGATTGTAATGCTAATCAAGCGTAATGTGAGGCTAAACCATAGTCCTGACTCTCACCCTATCCCAGTTTAATATGCCACTAAACCATAGCCCTGACTCTAACCCAGTCTGATATGCCTCCTAACCATAGCCCTGACTCTGACTCTAATCCTAACCCAGTATAAAATTCCACTAAACCACAGCTATGACCCTGACTTTAACCATAACCCAGTCTAAAATTCCACTAAACCATAGCCCTGACCCTAACTCTCACCCAGTCTAACATTCCACTAAACCATAGCCCTGACCCTAACCCAGTCGAACGTTCCACTAAACCATAGCCCTGACCCTGACTCTCACCCTAACCCAGTCTAACATTCCACTAAACCATAGCCTGGATAATGACTCACCCGAATAAGACATTCAATGTAAAGCCAAACCATAGAGCCCCCCTTGACCCCTTACGTCGACGTTGAATGGGGACGAATTCGAGGCTAAATCAATTCGCAAAAAAAGGTGACGAGACGCAAGAGACGATGCCAATTTTTTTTAATCCGCGAAAAACTGGGACCAAGTTGAATTTTAACAGAGGCGCATTTTTAAATCTCCTAGTCTCTCTTCATTCGTTTTTTTGTTTTGCCAAATCGGCAGCGGCGGCGGTGGCTATTGTGTATTTTGCAAGCGAGTGTATATTTGGCGAGACGTTATTTTTATATTAAAATATTTATTCACACGCACGCGTTTTTTTTTTGCTTTTCGCTCCACACGCTGTGCGGTGTGACAATAAACCTCTCGCGTGAGAGCCAAGAGCATCGAGGGGGTGTACGTGTGTGTGTGTACGTGTGTGTACGTGTGTGTGTGTACGTGTGTGTATATACGTGTGTGTGTGTGTACGTGTGTGTGTACGTGTATGTGTGTACGTGTGTGTGTACGTGTGTGTACGTGTGTGTGTACGTGTGTGTGTGTGTACGTGTGTGTGTGTACGTGTGTGTGTGTGTGTACATGTGTGTGTGTGTCCGTCTGCTACAGCAGAGGTGTAGGGAATTCCAACAAGACCTACATCTCTGCTTTATTGACCTGGTCAAGGCCTATGATACCATCAGGAGGCCTGGGCTCTGGGTTGTTCTTCGTGCTTTTGGAGTACCTGACCCTCTGCTCACGATCATTAAGGACCTTCATGATGGTGAGCGGGCCCAGGTAAAACTACGTGGCCGGGAGTCAGAGCCATTCCCTGTACACCTTGGGGTGCGACAGGGATGTCCTCTGGCTCCCACATTATTTAACATCTATTTTGACCACGTAGTTCGTGAAGCCTTCAATAGCTGTACCGGGGGAATCTCCATTTAGTACAGATGTAATGGGAGGCTGATCGATGCCCGGGTGCGGTCAAGGGATGGCTCCCTATTGCTCAACCACGTTATGTATGCTGATGATTTGGTAATAGCTGCTCAGTCAGAGGAGGAGTTGGAGACGCTGCTGCTGAGACTGGAGCGTGCCACTAAGAGGTGGGGCCTTACAATCAGCCCCACCAAAACAAAGCACCTGCCTGGGTATTTTGTACCATCGGACACTCCACCCCCACAACTCCCAATCGGTGATGGGGCAGTTGTGGAGAGAGTGGAGAGTTTCCCATACCTGGGCAGTGTGCTTATGACCGGCTCCAGTTTAACAGCAGAGGTCTCACAACGAATCAGTCGAGCGGCAATATCTTTTCATCGGTTGCGTAACGCTGTGTGGAAGCTACCTGGTCTGTCGCTCCGCACTAAGCTTCAGGTCTTCTCGGCCACGGTCATTCCCTCCCTTCTCTACGCTTGCGAAACGTGGACCCTCCTAATGGAACATCTTCGCCGGTTAGAAACATTTAGGCTGGCCTGCCTACGATCCATCCTGGGTTTAACCAGACTGTATTGTGTGAGGAGCTCACAAATCCTTGAAAGATCTGGGCAAGATTCCCATCGGTGAGCTCCTCCGGCGGGCAAGGCTGCGATGGCTGGGTCATGTAGCCCGCATGCCCAGCCACCGCATGCCGAAACAGCTTTTGTTCGGCCGGATTGAGGGGCTAAGCGGGCGCGGCACGGGCTAGAGAAGAGATGGAGTGATGTGGTACAGGAGGACGTGGAGCTGAGTGGACTTGCCGATAACTGGTACCAGCGGTGTCAAGATCGGCCTCTGTGGAGGAGGCTCGTGAATGATGCTACTGGGCAGTTGGAGGTAGTTGCCCTCCAACAACAACGGAGGGCGGAGGAGCGACGCTCAGAACAACGAGCGGAGCGCCGGGTGGCTAAAGCACAGCAGGTTGGCACAGTAGGGGGCACAGGTGGTGCATCAGCCAGTCATCTCAATCAGTCGACCCGTGGCACCTGGGTCTGCCCCGTGACCTCCTGCCAGCGGGCGTGTAGGTGTGTACGTGTGTGTGTGTACGTGTGTGTTACGTGTGTGTGTGTGCGTGTGTGTACGTGTGTGTGTATGTGTGTGTGTGTGCACTCCTCTGTCGGGAGCTGGACCGGTACCGCCTGGACCTCTGTGGTATTCAGGAGGTCCGGTGGACCGGTTCTGGCTCCTGCCACCATGATGGGTGGACAGTCCTCTACTCGGGGCAGCAGACTGCCAGAACAAAAGGATGTGGCTCTTCTTTTGAACAAAAATATGAAGGGGGCGTGGAGCGTGGCGGTGAGGTGTAGGGAAGCTGTACGCCCCATGCTACTTTTGGGCTCGCCTTCCCATCAACCGTGAGGCGAGAGTGGTGGTCGTGGTTACTTATGCCCCCACCGAAGACGAACATCCGTGGAGGGATGCAGGCAAAGCCGATGAGTCAGATGCCTTCTATGACCTCCTGTCACAGGTGCTGGATAAAGTGGCCCCTCGGGATAGAGTCATATTGTTGGGTGACTTCAATGCCCGAGTTGGTCATGATGCTGGCACCTGGTCTGAAGTGATTGGAGGGCATGGGCCAGATCAGCTCAATAACAACGGTAGGAGGCTGCTAGATTTTTGTGCAGCCCATGGGCTTGTAATTACCATCACGCTGTTCCGGCATCGGTGCATCCACACAACATCATGGATGCATGCCGGGTCCTAGCAAGAACATCTGCTGGACTACATAGTGACGGACCAGCGGATGCGAACCCATGTCCTTGACACCAGGACCTACCGTGGAGCTGATCTGCCCTCTGACCATCGACTAGTCATCTGTAAGATTCGCCTGTCATTCTTCCACTCCGGTGGTGGGTGTACACCCATGACCCCATTCCAACCTAAAGTGGCCTGGTCTCAGTTATCTGATGAAAGTTGCAAGCGAGAATTTCATCATCGCTTGCGGCTGGGGTGGGCATCGTCCCCCACTCCTCCTGATATCGAGGGTAAATGGGTGAGGTTTAGGACTGTGACTCATGCAGCTGCAATGGCTGCTTTGGGTACGCGGTCCAGACCTCCCCAGAGACCCTGGCTGACAGAGGAGGTGTTCAGGATGGTTGAGAAAAAGCGACAGGCCCACTGTCACCGGCTACAAAATCCCACATCAGAGAATGAGGAGGCTTGCCGCAGCCTTCGCTCGGAGGTTCGGAGATCCGTGAGGCACTGCAAGGATGGGTGGTGGTCGCGGGTTGCTGAAGAGATGGAGTCTGCCTCAGTGGCCCGCGATCACATATCTCTATTTAACTCCATCAAAAAAGTAACCTGCAGCGCCACACCTATTACCATCATTAGGGGAAAAAACGGTGATCCAATCTCCGATCCCCAGGAACAGGTTTGCAGATTAGCTGAGCATTTCTGTGAGGTCCTAGGGGAGGGGAAATCCCTCAGCCAGGAAAACATCGTGGCGCAAAGTGGGGATGACCCTGCTGAGGCTGCAGTGCCTCAAATATTGGAAGAAGTCACCCCCTGTAAGTGGCTGGCTGAGGTGCCATCTGTTGAGGAAGTACTGAAGGCGATCTGGAGTCTGAGACCAGGAAAGGCACCGGGTAGAGATGATCTCCCAAGCGAAATGCTGAGGGAGGGTGGCGTTTGTGCACAGACTGCCCTATATGACATCATAACAACAGATTTAAAGCTTTCGTGACTGCAAGGATCCATACTCTTTGGTTCTATTCGGTAAAGTCACGTAGGTAAATAATAAAACACCAATAATCACGACGTTTCGGCCACAACACAAGCGGCCTTCATCAGGTGAAGGGACGAGCTTGTGTTGTGGCCGAAACGTCGTGATTATTGGTGTTTTATTATTTACCTACGTGACTTTACCGAATAGAACCAAAGAGTATCATAACAACAGTCTGGACCACTGGACAGGTTCCGCAGGATTGGAAGGATGCCCTGGTGGTCCCCCTCTTTAAGAAGGGGGACCTCTTTAAGAAGGGGGACCGCACAGACTGTAACAACTAAAGGGGCATCTCACTCCTCAGTGTGCCGGGAAAGGTCCTGGCAAGGATTATTCAACATCGCCTTGCCAGGCACGCTGAGGAGAGGCTTGCGGAGCCCCAATACGGTTTCAGGAAAGGGCGGTCCTGCACAGATGCCATATTTTCTGTCCGTCTGCTGCAGCAGAGGTGTAGGGAATTCCAACAAGACCTACATCTCTGCTTTATTGACCTGGTCAAGGCCTATGATACCATCAGTAGGCCTGGACTCTGGGTTGTTCTTCGTGCTTTTGGAGTCCCTGACCCTCTGCTCACGATCATTAAGGACCTTCATGATGGTGAGCGGGCCCGGGTAAAACTACGTGGCCAGGAGTCAGAGCCATTCCCTGTACACCTTGGGGTGCGACAGAGATGTCCTCTGGCTCCCACATTATTTAACATCTATTTTGACCACGTAGTTCGTGAAGCCTTCAATAGCTGTACCGGGGGAATCTCCATTTGGTACAGATATAATGGGAGGCTGATCGATGCCCGGGTGCGGTCAAGGGATGGCTCCCTATTGCTCAACCACGTTATGTATGCTGATGATGTGGTAATAGCTGCTCATTCAGAGGAGGAGTTGGAGACGCTGCTGCTGAACCTGGAGCGTGCCACTAAGAGATGGGGCCTTACCATCAGCCCCACCAAATATAAACACCTGTCTGGGTATTTTGTACCATCGGACACTCCACCCCCACAACTCCCAATCGGTGATGGGGCAGTTATTGAGAGAGTGGAGAGTTTCCCATACCTGGGCAGTGTGCTTATGACTGGCTTCAGTTTAACAGCAGAGGTCTCACTCCGAATTAGTCGAGCGGCAATATCTTTTCATCGGTTGCGTAACGCTGTGTGGAAGCTACCTGGTCTGTCGCTCCGCACTAAGCTTCAGGTCTTCTCGGCCACGGTCATTCCCTCCCTTCTCTACGCTTGCGAAACATGGACCCCCCTAATTGAACATCTTCGCCGGTTAGAAACATTTAGGCTAGGTCTCACTCCGAATCAGTCGAGCGGCAATATCTTTTCATCGGTTGCGTAACGCTGTGTGGAAGCTACCTGGTCTGTCGCTCCGCACTAAGCTTCAGGTCTTCTCGGCCACGGTCATTCCCTCCCTTCTCTACGCTTGCGAAACGTGGACCCCCCTAATTGAACATCTTCGCCGGTTAGAAACATTTAGGCTAGCCTGCCTACGATCCATCCTGGGTTTAACCAGGCTGGATTGTGTGAGGAGCTCGCAAAACCTTGAAAGATCTGGGCAAGGTCCCATCGGTGAGCTCCTCCGGCAGGCAAGGCTGCGATGGCTGGCTCACGTAGCCCGCACGACCAGCCACCGCATGCCGAAACAG